GGAAGAACAAAAACACCAAGAGCCACCAGGGCGGAACAGGGTCGGGGACGCCTGGGCTCAGACCCTAACCCTGGCCGGCTGCTGGGAAGGGGCTAGGGGTGCAACCCAGGATCAACTCGGGCTCACACCTAAACCTGTAGCCCAAGGCTCCTTCTAGAATGCGCCACGTGGGCCTCGGGTATTCCCAGCCCCACTTCCAACCAAAAAGTCAACAGGCAGCCACCGGGCCCTGCCTGCACGGCGCACCACTGCAGACACCGCCCAGGGCCATCGAGGGAGGGAAGCCTCGGGGGACACACACCTTCCAACCCCACCCAGAAGAACACGCCTTCCGGGGCAGACGACAGGGGCAGGGCTGGGAGTGCAGAGAGGGGTGGGGCAGGGTGCAGCGGAGGGGGTCATGCCAAGAATAAGGAAGGTGACAGGAGGCAGCGTTAGGGTGGGGGACAGGAAAGGGGAGGCAGGCGCAGGAGCTGGGGGGGGGGGCCTGCATTCACGCTCCCACCACTCCCGCTCAGTCCCCACGATTCATGAGGTAGAGACCTGCTCCTCACCCAAGAAAAACCGGAAGCTCAGAGAGGTGAAGCGGCCTGCCCAGATCACACAGCAAGGAAGGAAGGTGTCAGGGCTGTGCGTCGGCAATTCCCAGGGGTCCGCCCTCACACAGGGAGCCTCAGCCTCGGGACAGGGTAGGTTGAAGGGTCAGGCTGGCCCTGGGGAGAGGGCATCTGGCCCTGCGCTAGTGGGCGGGCAACTGAGCTTTGACGGTGAGAACGCATCTCGGCCTCCTCTTCCTCTCTTTCCCAACCTTTCTCCTGGGCGACACATGCCATGGCTTCGTCTGAATTGAATTTTTTTTTTTTTTTTTTTGAGACAAGAGTTTTGCTCGTTACCCAGGCTGGAGTGCAATGGCACGATCTCGGCTCACCGCAACCTCCGCCTCCTGGGTTCAGGCAACTCTCCTGCCTCAGCCTCCCGAGTGGCTGGGATTACAGGCACGCGCCACCATGCCCAGCTAGTTTTTGTATTTTTAGTAGAGACGGGGTTTCACAATGTTGACCAGAATGCTCTCGATCTCTCGACCTCGTGATCCACCCGCCTCGGCCTCCCAAAGTGCTGGGATTACAGGCGTGAGCCACCGCGCCCGGCCTGAATTGCATTTTTAAACTGCACCCTTGAGACACGATGCGAGGAGAGAAGCGGAGGCAATCGCGGTCAGACGGTGGAAAACGAGAGGCACTTTCAGAAGTCCGGCGCACGCCGGAGGGGAGGCTGCGGCAGGTGAGGAGGGTGCGGCGGGTGAGGAGGGTGCGGTGGGCAGGCCGAGGGCACCCCCGAGGGGCCGCACAGCCTCTGCGGTTCCCTGGGTGCCACCAACCCTGCCACCTCCCCCTGCAGCTCTGGGAGCTGCCCTGCTTCCACCCCTGCCCCCTGCCCAGGATGTGCCATCACCAGGAGGCGGCCGTGACTGCAGGCCTGTGAGGTCACCAGCTCAGCTGCTAGCCGGCAGGGGCTTGGTGCCCTCTTGAGCACCTGGCAGACACCAGAGGGACTCCACTCCCTGGGCGGCATGGCTTTCACAGAGGCCCGGGCTCCCTTTCTGCAATGGCAGGGAGGAGCCTATGGAGTCTCAGGCGTGAGTTGGGGGTTGGAATTCCCATGCCACTTACAATGGGGGATGTGGGCACGCTGGAGGCTCAGTTCCCATCCACCAGAGGCAAAGGTTGTGTTAGTATCACAGGAGGACTGCTAGGCACACAGCAGGTGCGCAGCACACAGCCACTGTGTGATGAACGTGGGGAGGCCCTTGCTGGTCCACCCCTAGGACGAAGCAGAAAGGCAGCTGCCGGTTCTCACCCCACCCAGCTCTCCCCGGCCTGGGCTGTCCCGCCAGGAGAGGCGATAAGGGCTGTCAATGCCGCAGACGACCCATGAGGACCAGGAGGCGTCACACTCAGAGGAGCCCCGACACACACCTAGACAGCCCCTGTGTACCAAACGCCCAGAACAGACCCGTCTACAGAGGCAGAAAGACCAGCCGCCAGGGGCTGGGGGAGGGCGTGGGGGATGCTGGCAAATGTGGCTGAGGTTCTATTCTCAAGGGTGACCCGAATGTTCTAGAATTAAGAGAGCTCACGGTTGCACAACTATGCACGAAAATCACCAAATCACGCACTTTTATGGGGTGAATTTTATGGCATGTGAATAATAACTAAAAAAATTTTTAAATAAAAAATCCAGACCCCACCCACTGCCAAGTCCACTGAGGATTCTCCCTGCTGCCCTCTGGTGCAGGTGGAGAGGTGCCACAGGGAGCTGGGTGCACAGTGAGCGGGCCCCACACGTCCCTGCGGTCACCCAGGATTCCACACCCCCAGGAAGGCAGGGTCAGCACGCTGACAGCCAGGCAGAGACTCTTTGGTGCGCCCAACGCCAGCTCCCTACACCACAGCAGTGTTGGCAGGGGTGAGGGGGGCTTCCTCTCCAGCAGGGACCACCAGGATCCCCTGCTCAGAACTGTCCTCCTACAGGCAGCTGTCCCAGCCCACCCGGGAAGGCCCAGCAGCAGCAGGACACGGGCATGACCCTACCCTCGGTGGCCACCGTCTTGCGACTTGACCTCTGAACCTCGGCCTTCGCACCTGCACCGAGGGGCCCGGGAGGGCTGCCGGCCAGTTCCACAGACGGGGAAAGGTGAGGTCAGGGTCGGGGCGACTCCATGAGAATGGGAACCAGGTGCACTAAGTGGCTGAGGTCACGCTGGACCGGGGTTGACCAGATGGGAGACTCATCAAGACGGGGTGGGGGCACCAAGGGCCCAGCTGCAAACGCTGCTGCAGGTCCGCAGACCCCGAGCCTCACAGACCTCAGCTTTCCCAGTTCAGCCGAAGGTGACCTGAGTGAGTGCCCCAGCAGGCACAAGGCTCAGGCAGCAGCACCGCTCGCTGGCCCTCCCGGGACCCTGCACCACCCAGTTCCAGGCATCCATCCTGGGGGATCCTTCCCAGAGCCTTTTCCCAGTGCCCAAGTCACAGCTGGGAGGGGAAGGGCCCCGAGGCCACGGTGTCTGGCCTCCCGCCATGGGCGCCCAGAAGCACACTTTGTTCCTGGCCAGTGGGGACCAGTGGCCCCTGGCACTCAGGCCGCCCGCTGGCCGAGCAATCAAGCCAAGTGCTGGGACCAGGCTGGGGCAGCAGAGAGGAAGCCCCACGAGGCAGGCTCCTGCTGCGACGCCCGTGACGTGCGGGGCCCACGGAGGGAAGCCGAGTCTGAACACCTCTCTACCACGTTCCTTGGCAGGCAGGGAAACCTGCCCTTTCCTGACCTCGTCCCCTGCAGCGTTACCCAGGGTGGAGCCCAGAGGCCCCAAAGCGGACACAGCTGCCGATTGAAGCCAGGATGCAGGGATGACCCAGACCCAGCAGCACCAGCGCCAGCCACGTGTCCCCCGTGGCCTCGGAAATCCCGCACCAGCCCTGGTTCTCCTGCTCCGAAACGCTGAGAAAAGACAAGCCCAGCAGGAGGAGCTGGGCCAGCCCTGCCTCTCACTTCTCAGCCGTCCCTCCCCTCTCCCTGCCCCTCCCAGGAGAGCCCGAGTCTCAACTCCAAGCTAAACTTCCTCCCGGGGTATATCCTCAGCTGCCTTGTTCACCACCCCGGAGAGCCCAGGATGCCAGGGGGCACCAGGCAGGGTGCCTACTTCCTCCGAGCCATCTACCTGCAGCTGCCCAGCCTCTTGACACAGGTGGGACCTGTGCAGCCCGGCTGCTCAGGCATGGACAGGGAGTCCCCTGCCTAAGGCTTCAAAGGTTTTCTGGTGGTCCCAGCTGTGCCTGGTTCAACAAGAGGAGCCAGGAGGCAAGGGGGTGCCCCCTGGTGGTAGAGAACCCAGACCCCACCTGGCCTCCCTTCTGGGCCAGTGCCCCCACCCTTCAGTGCCAGCTTTGTCCTCCTCCACTCCCTCATCTCCAATGAGCAGAGGCAGAAAGGACCTGCGAAGGAGACGTGCAGAAAGGAGGAGACCCCCAGCTCGCCTTGTCCCCTCTGCCAAGCTGGACCGCAGCATGTAAAGACAGACGGCGCTCCTGCACACGCTGCTCTCTGGCCGCTCAGGAGGGCCCTGGAACCAGGATCCTAACCCTTGGGCCTTTGAGGGGAATGCAGCAGATGACGGGTAGAGCCCCTGCCCGTGAGCAGCAAGGCCAGAGGGTGTCCGAGGCCCGGCCAGAGTCCACAGCGCCAAGGCCCCCCGCAGCTCCAGCCCACTGACCCTCCCATTCATGCCAGTAGCAACCCGGGCACAGGCAGCCAATGGTGATAATGGGCCCCAAAAAGCGTCCCAAAGAAAGAACCAAAGGGGGCCTCTCTAGAGCCTCACTGCACAGGCCAAATATGGAGCTCAGAGGGTTAGCACTTGCCCAAGGCACACAGCACGTCTCGCCCTGGTGATACCAGGAGCCATGGCTCAGGACCCCCAGAGGTCCTCATCTGCGCCCCCTAGAGTTAAACAATGGTAGGGTCCGCCGTGCCAGAGACCCCCGCTCCAAACCAGTGTGTTTCCAGGGACACCACGTCCTCTGCCATGTCTGGAGGGGGTGTTGAAGCCTAAGCAAGGGGCCACTCGGGGAGCAGCTCTCCCTCTGGAGCCTCTTGGGGCTCCCCTGGTCCATGGCACCCACCCTCTTGACTGAGCCACAGGGCTGGCAGGAACACCTGGCTACGGCCGGGAACCCCTGCAATGGCTCTGGGGGCCGAGGAAGGACAGAGGCAGGAGAGACGGGAAGCAGAGGCGAAGCGGAAGTGCTGGGGCGCTGGGGCGCCGGGGCGCTGGGGCGGGCCCACGGTCTGCAGCTCCGGCAGTGCTGTCTGCTTCACGCGGAGCGCGCGGCGTGGGAAAACGAGACTTGCTATGAGCGTGCACGTGCACAGCGCGCGGGAGGCTGAGTCCCCGCCTCGGGAGCCGCAGCTCCCCCCACGCACCGCCTGGCAGGCCCCCTTACCTCTGGGCTCCTCCGCCTGTTTGGCGAGCTTGCGCAGCGCGGCGGCAAAGCTGGAGGACGGCGCGGCCTGGGCCGACAGCGCGCTGCTGGTGGCGGGGCTGCCGCTGGGCACCAGGGCGCCATTGAGCGGCGAGGGGGTGAGGGGGTTGACGGTGGCGGTGGTCCTGGTCGCGGTGGAAAGCATCCCTAGCGAAGGGGACTTGGGCTCATGGCTCATGCCTGAAACAGGAAAAGAAGAACCAGAGGTCACCCAGAGAGCAGGAGCGCCCAACACCAGAGCAGGGTCGGCAGGGCCAGTGGGGGCCGGTGTCAGCAGCAGCATGCAGGGAGCAGGGGCGGCCCCGGGGGCTGCAGCGAGCCAAGCAAGAGCAGACAGAGCCAGTGCTGCAGAGAGAACAGACCCCGTCCCCACAGTCCAGCTGGGACCCGGCACAGACCCCAGGGGCCCCCAGGACCCCAGATTCTGAAAGGCTCAGGCCAGCACTGCCCTCTACCTCTCCAGGGCAGACTGGGCTGGGCAGGCCGTAGAGGATCCCACACATCAACCGACAGATCCCCAGCCACCAAAGGGTGTGGGGAAGGAGATGGGCCCAGCGTGAGGGGGCGTTCGGCCACATGCTCAGGATAGAAGCACGCTGGCAGAAGGCCCAGGGACGACGGGAACCAAGAGAACTGCTGTGGCCACCGACGCGACACGTACACAGTGCCAGGCATGCATGGCAGTGCCCTCGGGAGGCTGGCGCCAGCGCTGCCCCACCTCACAGAAAAGGAAACCGAGGCCCCAGCTTGGCCCAGTCCACATGGGCACTCAGCACAGACCCCTGGCCTCCCGCCACCCAGGGATCCCGTGCGTCTCTGTCTGAGACGGGTCCCAGAATTCGGGCCACACAGGCAGGCTGACGAGGAGCGCCGGGGAAGAACACAGCCACCCCGAAGACCCCACTGTGGCCCCTTGCTGGGCACAGAGTCTGCCCTGAGAGGCTGAAAACAGACAACGACAAATCCAAACTGCCGTCCAGCGTGGAACCCTCCCTTTCCTCCCAGGCCAAGTTCAGGCCGACCTGGCCCAGCGACAGCTGACCGGGCCCTCCTGGCGGGGGGTGGCGGCCACAGCAGCAGCAGGAAGAGGTCTGAGCCCAGGTGCAGCCATCCAGGTGACATCAAAGCCACTAGGGGAAGGGCACGGCCACTTCCAGACATATCGCAGTCCTCCTACCCTGTGTGTGCACCTGGTCAAAATGTTTTCCACAACACCCCTTCCCTCGGCAGAGACGCCCCCCGACCCCCATATCACCCACAGGCCGGGTCCTGGCTCCCTCTTTGTGGACAAATCTCGGGGGAAGGGCGATGGGACCACACACAGTGGGGCTGGCATCTCAGAGATCATGGTGGGGGGCACACGCAACCCAAGAGGGGCAGACTGCACTTCCTGAGGGGCGAGGGCCAAGGAGCCCCAGGCTCCCTCCTCGGGCTGGGGGCCTACCCTCAAGGGGCTGCCCTGGCCTCCAGAGCCCACCTCACATCTGCCAGGTTCTAAGTCGCACTGACAAGTCTGGCTGGAACCTGCTGGCGTGGGCTGCAGGCTGGGCGCAGCGTGCGGAGGACCCTGGAGGCCTCCTCTGTCCACCTGCTATGCCCACAACTTGCCGCCAAAGGCCATGTGTCCTGGGCGTGTGTTCAGGGAGCCGAGTCCCCACTCTCCTAACAGAGGGGCTGCAGGGGAAAATAACTCTTTGGGGGCTTTGGTGTGGGGGGCGGGCCGGGGACACTGACTGTGAGTGGGCCTGCCAGTGAGAGATCATCAAGGCGGGAGCAAGCTCACACCTCAGGAACAAAGGACCCTGACCGCCCCACGCCTGCCCAGCTGCCAGCAGTCACAAGGCGGTGTGGCCATGCCCTGCAGCAGCGGGCCCCACCGGGCCAGAGGGCCAACCCTAGCCTGATCTCCCTCGGCTCTTTCTGGAGGGGCCAGGGGTAAAGGGCGAACCTGCACACCCCGAACTGCCTTTCCAAGGCCGCTTCAACCTGGCACAGACACCCAACCACGCAGGAGAGCAAGGGCGTCTACCCAGCAGCTTGACTTCCAGAAAACATGGGCTGCCAACTAGAGCCCTTCCTCAGCCGGCCTGGCCCCCGCCAGCTGCTCTGCTCCACACCGCCGGCTGCGCTGCCCCCGAGGCTGGCCTGGCCTCCGCCTGTCCCCCGCAGTGGTCTGCCGTCAGCGCCTCTCCCCATGCACAGAGACGGAGGGAGGAAAAGGCACCTGTGGGTCAGCCCCAGGCTCTGCTGCTTCTGGCTGAACAACCCTGGCTGAGCTACTTCACACCTCGGGGCCCTGAGTCTCTTCATCTATCTAACCGGGCAACAGCACAGCAAAGCCAACCTCATGAGGTCACTCCCCTGAGCATAATGGGGTAACTGACACAAGGGGCTTCAGAGCCTGTGGGGCACCCCAGGGCCGTTACCAGACAGTGCTCCAGCGACAACAGATGCCAGTCCCAGCAGGCGGGGGTCCAGCCAAGGGCACGCAGATGTCCCAGCAAATGGCACCCACACTCTGGGTCTGTGCTGCCCACCCCACCTGGGGGCTGGAGCCGCAACCAGGAGGGCACAGGGCATCCAGCTGGTGGGCACCCTGCCCAAGAGCCCCCTGTCCTGGCCCATGAGCCCGCACACCTCTCGCAGAACGCCAGCCCGTGACCCCAAAAGGGTGGTGGCTGGGGAAGAACAGAGTTCTCGTCCTGCTGCCTGCAGGGGACAGTAGGGGACACTGGAGGACGTGGCCCATAGGGGGGCTGCCAAGCGCCAGTCCAGAGGACCTCCAGGTCCCACCTGTCACCAAAGCACCCTCAGCTCCACATGCAGGAGGCTGCAGGGTGTTCATGAGGGAATGTCTAGAAAGACCAAGTGGCACAGGACCAAGCCCCACCCTCAAGGGGACCCAGGAGGACATCAATGAACCAGGTCCTGGTGGTCCCAATGAGGTGCTGAGGCGGGTGGCGAGAGGAGGGCTGCCTGGGAGACAGGAGCAGAGCCACAGGGACACCACCTCCAGGGAGACAGCAGCGGCTCTCAGAAGTCACAGACCAGCGGGGGACCTCCCAAGACAGCCTCACCATGAGCCCGGGAGAGAGCCCACGGCAGCTGTGCTGTTACCCACCATCCCAGCCTGTGTCCCACCCCTCGCAGCCAGCACCCAAGCCCAGGAAGCCTCGAGTGCAGATGGGGAAACCGAGGCCAGATGACCTAAGCATGGTCCAAGATCAGTTAGCTGAGCAGCATGTCCAGGGAACACAGTTTCCTGCGCCCCCACTGCTCACTACCAGTGCCCATCCACTCCATGGCCCAACCAGGGCACGTGATCAGAAGGCGTGAACGGTCTCTCTCTCTCTCTCTCTCTCACACACACACACACACAGCTATGACATACCGGACTGTAATGGTTAAAAACATTCATACAGCTCACACCTGTAATCCCAGCTAAGTAGGAAGGTGAGGTGGGAGGACTGTGTGAGGCCAGGAGTTCAAAACCAGCCTGGGCAACACAGAGAGACCCTGTCTCTATAAATTACCCTACAACGACAGGTGCATACCTGTAGCCCCAGGTGTTTGGGAAGATTATTTGAGCCCAGGAGATGGTGCTACAATGGGCTATGATCGTATCAGTATACTCTAGCCTGGGCGACACAACTCTGTCACTAAAAAAATAAAAACAACGTCTAGAAAGTCTTCATCCATCATGCTTTCAGGAGGTAGGGATGAATTCGCTTTCCCGAGTGCGGGCGAGACTGCACAACTCATTTCTGATGAACAGAATAGAGTGGAAGCCACGGTCTGCAGCTGCCAAAGACACTGTAGCTCTCTCCTGGCCCTCTTGGGTCACTCCAGTGGAGCGGGGGTAGCTGCCACGTCACGAGGATGCTCAAGCAGGTCGTGGAGAAACCCACATTTCAAGGAACCAAGGCCTCCAGCCAACAGACATGTGAGAAGTCACTTTGGCAATGAATCCTCCAGCCCCAGGCAGGCCTTCTGATGAGACTGCAGCCCCAGCCAACATGGTCGTCACAGACCCTGAGACGGAACCACCCAGATAAGCCACCCTCCCATTCCTGGCCCACAGAAACAGAGATAATAAAGGTTTTGTTAAGCCACTAAGTTGCAGACAGTGGGTTACACAATTCTAGATAACTGATATGGTCAGCATCTCCACACCCTCTACTCATCAAGGATGTCCCTTCAATCCATCAGAAAGCCAAGAAGTGCAACTATCTGCACATAGATACTCTGCACCTTCATCCACAGTCTCCAGAACATGACCCTGCAAGGTCAGAGCCCCTCAGCAATGCCCCTTTCCCATACTCCTCAGAGAGCCAGCCACTCTACATCTTGGGCGCCCTGTGAGAAAAGTGTGACTGGGCCCATTTTCCCAGATGGGCAAAGGCAGGCTCAGATCCCAGAGCCAGAACAGAGCAGGGCTGAGATGTCCACAGCACAGTGCCCGCGTGACAAGCCAGCCAGGGCCCAGCTCCAGATCCCCCACTCCGGGACTGCAGGAGGCGTGGATCTCCGCTGCGGGCTGGGTTGCTGTGTGGTCCACACCATACGCTGCCATAGAAGGAGGAGGACGTGGGGTGACGTATGGTCGTTTCACCTCCAGGTGACACGCTCTGGAGGTCTGGGAGCAGATGCCAATCTGTCCCCTGGCCTTCAGCACAGGCCGGCTGGCCACCCAGGCAGATGTGCTGTGACCACCGGGCATAGGTTGGGTGGCTGGACGAGGCTGTTTGTACTGCTGTAAAGAAATACCTGGGGCTACGTAATTCATAAAGAAAAGAGGCTTATTCTGGCTCCTGGCTCTATGGGGTGTACTGGAAACGGAGTGCTGGTATCTGCCTCTGGGAAGGCCTCAGGAAGCTTCCCATCATGGCGAAAGGCGACGAGAGCCGGCACATCCGGGGGCGTAAGACGAAGCCAGAGTGGGAGGTCCCTGGCTTTTCAACACCCAGATCTGGTGAGGCTCATGCGAAGAAGTGTTGTGTCTCCTGGACCATCAGAGTTTGATGACAAAGGTGACGGGGATAACCCCTTCATGAGATCCAACCCCCCGATCCAATCCCTGCCACCAGGCCCCAACACTGGAGGTCACATTTCCATGAGACACATCCTAACCCTATCAGTGGCACAGAGGAGAGGCCACGGCACGAATCCCAGGCCGGACC